AAATAAGTAATTTGTGATAGAGTTTTATAGAAATTGTCTAATTAGATTTAATTTTACTAAGAAACGCATAATAAAAACTAATTTATGGTAGAGTTTTAGAAAAATTATTTTGTTTTATATATTAATTAATAAATACTTTTATATTAATAATTCTTATCTAATTAGATTTTCTTTTATTAAAAAATTCATAATAATAAATAGATAAATAGGTTAATTTATGGACTATTTGGTCAAGCACAATTGGTTATAGATTGAATTTTAATTTTATTAGCTAATTTTGAGTTTTATAGAATTTATATCGTGGGATATAATAATTAATGAAAGCTCTTTATTGTGAATTAAACTCTTTTTATATTTTGTTAATTTGAATTTTATTAGGTAATTTTGAGTTTTATAGAATTTATATAAATTAATAAATAAATATTAAAACTATTTGCACAAAGGCCGAGAAAGTAGTACTACACTGGATCTTAATCAAAAGACCAAGAAAGGTTAGCTAAAAGGCCGACCCAAAAAAATTTAGTATTACACTTGATCTTAGCCAAAAAGCCGAGAAGGTGTAATTATTATTTTTTTAGTTCTATAGTTTTATAACAGACTTTCATGTAATCCTTTTTACTTAAAACCAACGTGGACTTTGTAATTTGAATTAAACTCTTTTTATATTTTGTTAATTTGAATTAATTTTAATTTTATTAGGTAATTTTGAGTGTTATAGAATTTATATTAATTAATAAATAAATACTGAAATACTTTGCACATTTAATAATAGTATAGATATATATTGTCATCTAAGTGAATTTAATTATGATCATGTATCCTAAAGTAAAAATATATTGTTATAGTTACAAGTATCATTTTTTTTTCCCAGGTAAATTAGTAAATTACCTGATCTTTTCTAAAAGTTCCCTATGGTACCTTCAAATTAAAGTTTTTGAAAAATAGTTTTTTTGCCATTACCAAAATAAACCCTCAACTTTTCAACTTTCTAATGCTTTTGGATTTTGGATGAGATAAGAACCAAACAAAATACTATATGTTTATATATAAACATTCCCTCTAAGCTCCGTGTATCTTATTGTTTTGTCATTCTGGGTAGCCCCTCGGTTCAGTGTGTTTTTTGGTGTTGGACTTTTGCTGTTTGTCCTTATGGGCTTTTGTTTTGTTTGGGCTCTATTGCTCATTGCGTCTAATTTTTATCGATTTATGGGCTGTTTCTAATGGCCAACTACAGTTCATATAATTGAGGTTAATTTTACCTACAGTTCATAACCTTTGACCATATTCTACTTATTCCCCTTCTAAATTTTAATATTTTACCTACCTCCCTTCACTATGATGGCCATTACTTTACTAACTGAATTGTATAATTTTACAATTTTGCCTATCAATTGTATATAACTAATAGTTATAAAATTTTAAAATTGAATGGAAAAGGCAAAAACACCCACAGACAATTATATACACATTACATACACATATACTGATATACAGCAACAGAGAGCAACGGCAATTCATCATTTGATGGTCTCCCGGTTGTTGATATCGGCTGCGAGGTCTTAGAAACCGAGATTGGTGAGAACCGGGCCGAAGAAAGGGATGGCAATGGTGGAAGTTGATAATGATGGTGCAAGTCCACCGCTGACAAGCTTACCTCCACCATTAATGAATCCCTCCACATAATCCAAGAGATCAAGAACTCTGGCCTCCGCCTATGCCCAGATCCAAACTCAGGCCTGAGCTTTTCATACTCGCTTTTCAGATGGTACCAAACAGACCAAATGTAGAAATAATATATTTGGGATTTCAGCCCAAGATACTAGTATTTCTAAATTTGTGTTGCTGCTCTCAACTCAAAAAATAAAAAATCACGGAACAAATTTCTCTGCTAAAATTGCACAGTATCTGATCGAAAGGTTAAAATGCCAAAAACATAATAGTTACACAATAATTTTATAAACAAAACACATAAAAGGTTCTCTAACACATTAAGCATTTAGAATCCAAATTTAAAACTTTAAAAACTATATTTTTGAGTAACTTCTAAAGAATATAAATCTGGGCAAAGCTTAAAAAAGAAGGAAAATAAAGTATTTTCAATTAACTTCTTGAGTATGCAATGATTTATATAAAATGAACATAAAATTTCAAGAACGTAGAGTTTAAACCCTGAAGTAAGTTTGCCTATTCCTATTAAAACATAACAAATAATTCCTAAATTAATCCAGCTTCAAATCAACTCACCCAGATATAAAAGAAGACGAAAACAACTTTGTACGATTTAACTTCTAAAATTCTAGAAACCAACATAAAAATCAGAACAAACTTCCAAAAAGTACACACATGCAAATATTAAATACTAATTTTTTTTAGTAAGTAATTATTTGTAAATTTCTGACCCACCAGAAACAGATCATCACAATATATATATATATATATATATATATATATATAAAAATTTCAGAAACACAAAAAACTACAAATAAATCAGCCCTTCTTCACTGACAAATAAATCAGCCCTTATTTAGTTGAGAATGACCTTTAAACCTTCTAATTTTAACGTTGATCGAGTTTCTTCGCTTCACCCCCGAGTTCAATCGGACGAGTCAGCCATGGCCGCCAGAGTAGATATATATATATATATATATAAACTACATTATCATTTATGATAAGTCTAGGGTAGTTTTGTCATTCCTCATTAGTCAATGAGGTTAAAGCAGTGATTTCAGGTACTGAAAAAGGGTAAAATTGACCTTTTAACAAATTCCTCATGCTGACATCAGCACACACAGTTAGATGCTTAACGGTATAGAAGAACTTGTTCCGCATGATTAAAGGTCAGGAGTGTGTGTGAAATATTGAAACCTAGAAGGGTGTCAGTGGGATATAAGTAAAAAGTTAGGCGGTATAGATGGAATTAACTCTACAATCAATCGCAAGAGAGATTTACCATTTTTTGCTAGTTTAAACAAAGTGTAATAAATATTATTTTTTTTTTTTTTTTTTTTTTTTCATACTTACTCAAATATAGGTTCCATTGTTTGACGTAAAATATATTTCTTTAAAAATATTTATCTTTTGCAGGTAAAATATTTTTCTTTATTTTAATTTTTTAGTGTTTGGCAAAAGTCGAGATTGACGTCGAATCTATCGAATGGAACGTGTAAAATAATTTGTCAAAAATTAATGAGTAAATTATTTTATTTAAGTTTTATTTTTCTTCGTAAATTTACATCGAAACAAATTACAAAAACAAGTAAAGTAGAAACTGAAAATACACCAATTTAGATATGCACAATTATAATGTGAATGCTCATGTTTTCAAAACAAATTACAAAAATTAGTAAAGTAGAAACTGAAAATACATCAATTTAGATATGCACATTTATAATGTGAATGTTTTTTTTTAGGAAATTTTTATAATGTGAATGCTGTTGTCAGTGAACATGTACTAGTTCATGTTATCTTGTTCTATTTTATTGACTCGTAAGTACATGTTCATGCGAAAGACATCCATTACATAATACACCAAAGTATATAATCCGGCCTTGTGTATTCTCATTCAATCTTAGTTTAAAATCACATTTTTACACAATTAAATCAAACATCTATTTCACAATATGAAATTATTTTTGTATTTAGAGTCCTTTTGTTTAGTTGACCGGATTAACAAGGAATTTTATTTTATTTTAATTTGTGAATAAAAAAATTGAATATATAGCTTAGCAATCCAAAAAATAGGAAAAAAAATAATAATAATTCCACTCAATTTGTGAATGAATTGAATGACATTATTATCCCTCTCTGCTTACTGGCTGCGTTTAGTAACAAGAAACGTTTCTTATTTTCTGTTGGCAACCTCTAAAAAGGCAAAACGAAAACAAAAATTGCGTTCAATATTTTATAACAGAAAATGTTTTCAATTTTTGTGAAGAAAAGAGAAAACATCAAAATATTGTTTCTTATGTTTTCGGCACTATAGCAAATAAACATTTTCACTAATGTTAGTGCACAGATACTATTTATTTCAAATAAAATTCAAATTATTTGTGTTATATACTAAGTTGTATATTAAATGTTAATAAAAATATATATTTTTAATATAGAATAAATTAAATATTGCATATTATTTTTTATTTGATAAAAATATATTTTAATATATAATATATTAAATAATATTGTAAATGATTTTTTGTGACAAAATAATTTTTGATATAGAATATAATGTTATTAAATTATTAAGCAATAGATATTTTATATTATTATATATCATATCTATATTATATTATATGTAAATATTAAATTATAATTAATTTACAATATTATAACACAATATATATTTTATTACATATAAGATATATTATTTAATATTTTTTATTCATAACAAATTATCATATGCTAAATATATTATATATCACATAATAAATGTATACATCATGCATATACATGTATTTGTCTTCGTATATCTAATTTTGTACTTATGATGTATTGAATATTTTTAAGATTTATAATTTTAAATTAGATTTTATAAATTTATGACTTTTTGATATTAATAGAAGCAAGTGTCGTGCCTAAGCGGTTGGGTTGCTCCCTGTGTCCGAGAATTCATGTTCAAGTCATCTACCCTCTCATTTAATTACTAACTCCTAAAATTCTTGTCATGAAAAAAATAAAAAAGAAATGAAATAAATAAATAAATAATTTAAAGAATATTATGTACATTTTGTAACAAATATGTTACATTACTAAATACAATTATTGTTTTATATTTTTAAAGTTATGACAACAACAACAAGTATTAATAAATATTATTTTTACTCAGAGAAAATAAATATTTTTATTTTCTTAAAACTGGTTAAAAAAAAAAAAAAAACGAACGAAAACGTTACTAAAGCATGACTAAAAGCAGCAAACCCCAAGTGCCGCTAACATGGCTCAGTCTGATTGGTGAGAACTCTAATAGAGTAAACGCTAACGCTATATGCCTCAATCTGAATTTCTAAAATTAGGGCCACTCTCGGATCCATATAGTTTTTGGGTCGTCTGATAGCTCTCTCTCACACACGCCCCAACCCACCCAGAGGTGAAGAAATACACAGAGACACAGAAAGAGAGAGACCAGAAAATCACAACCTACAATACAAAAAGGAAAGAAAAATTGGTATGCGGAGTTTCTCTCTTTCCTTCTCTTTATCCATTCGTGCTATCGTATGTATGTATATATAAATTTCTCTTTGCCAAAGGTCAATCCTGTGTCATTTGCCCCTAATTTTCGCACCACTTCTTGCATTTCTTAGCTCAATTTTTTTCATTTGCTCTTGCTGATTGCCGATTGTTGACAACAGTTTATAGATTTTTCCCACTGGTTCAAGTGCTTGAATTTCATATATGTATTTGTTTTATATCATTATTTTCCCCAATAGGGTTTTGAGGATTGATTACTCTCTTCTTCCTACTGCATTGATTTTGTCTTGACATGTTGTCATTTTTACCCTTTAGATTGCAACATCTATTTCCTTTGCCATGTGGAGCTTGTCAATGGGTTTACAATTCTGGGTTTTGGCTATTTTACTTCTATTCACTCGTCTTTCTTCTTTTTTATTTTTGCAATATTTACTCGTCTTTGTGTTAGTTTAGCACCAATTGTGCTTCAAAATGGTTCACAATTCTGGTGCTTATTTATTCGTATTTAACCCCATTTAGTGAGTTTATTAACCATAACTGATATCTATACTATTAAGTTTCTCTAATGCGTGTTGTTTTTAGGATTGGATGATTTTTGGTTTAGGGGTGGGGATGGGGTTTTATTCAGTCATTGTGTGTATTTGTTCATTCTAAGTATACAAAGAAATTTACCCATTAGTTTCCATATTAATGCTCCGAACCTCCGTTTGGTTCCAGAAAGAGGGCAAGTTGATTGAAATTTGAACTCTGATACCTGTTTGAGGGTAGACTTTAAAGTACCAGTCTTATGATTCTAAATTTCTTTTTGTTTCTCAACAATATTATCAACAACCAAATGGTTCATTAGGAAGTTGGTCAGCTTTTGCTGTGGTAGAATAGATCATTGCAGCCGGAAGATACGATGAAGTGCTTCGATCTCTTGCTTGGCCTTCCAGTCTTATGTTTCTCATTTCTACTCACTGAAAAAAATACAATGAAGATTCTTCTTATCTTGCTTGACCTTTAGCTTTCTTCTCTACCCCTTCACATGAAAGTACATGCACTATGGTAATTGTTACTGCCTTTGTAAATCCTCTGTTATTCCAATGCGAGCTCGCAGGTGATATAGGTGAAGGTCAACAGTAGTTGTTGGATGACAAGACCTGGGACGTGAGGAAGTCATGGCAGAGGGTACAGAAATTGATGACCGGGTTGATCTTGATGATGACAATTACATTGAAGAGATGGATGATGATGTTGAAGAACAAATAGAGGATGAAGAAGCCGGGGGAGATGGCGATGAAAATGATGAGGACCAACAGGAGGACTCAAGTGGGACTAATGCAAATGACCAATCACCAGAAGCAGATAGAAGTCCCATTACTACCGAACCAGTCGAAGATGAAGAAAAGCCTATTGCCACCATTGATGAAGTTGACAGCGAGAAGCGAGCTGAAATTCTTTCCCTTCCTCCTCACGGGTCTGAAGTTTTCATTGGTGGGCTTCCTCGAGATACTACAGAAGAAGACTTGAGGGATCTCTGTGAATCAATTGGTGAAATTTCCGAGGTCAGTTCTCGTCCCGGAAAAGAAAGGAATGCCAGAACAGTGATTTCTTGTGATTGAGGACTTAAGCTTTTTTTGTTACTGGGATTTTCAACATGGTTTTAACTTCTCAATGATTATTGCAGGTTAGGTTAATGAAAAATAGGGATACTGGTGAAAGTAAGGGTTTTGCTTTTATAGCATTCAAAACGAAGGATATTGCACAACAGGCCATTGAAGAGTTGCATAACAAAGAATTTAAGGTAATGTTGATGCTTATGTGAAAGACTCTCTCTCCCTCTGGCAACATTGTCTTTAAAATGTTAAAAGTGCTTGGTGTGTTCATTTCGTGGCATTTTTGTTACTGTTTTAGTTTTTGACCTTTTATAAGTTTTATCACTGCAGGGTAGAACATTAAGGTGTTCACTGTCTGAAACTAAACACAGATTGTTTATTGGTAATATTCCGAAGAGCTGGTCTGATGATGAATTTAGGAAAGTCATTGAGGAGACTGGTCCTGGAGCAGAAAATATTGAGCTCATAAAGGTGTGTGTGCATTTTTGGCATTCTTAATTGACTATCTACTTATTAAATTTTTACCAGCTTATTAAGAATTAATAACTGCTCTTCCTGACCTTGCTAGTCCCATTATCTTCTGGTAAAAACAGGATCCACAAAATCCAAGCCGTAATCGTGGTTTTGCTTTCATTGAGTATTACAACAATGCCTGTGCTGATTATTCTAGGCAGAAAATGTCAAGTGCAAATTTTAAACTAGATGGCAACACCCCAACTGTCAGCTGGGCTGATCCAAAGAGTGCACCTGAGCATTCTGCTGCTTCTCAGGTAAACTCCAAAGGGATTAAAAAAAAAAAGTATCAGATCTTAAATCTAAATAGAAATTGACAACTTCATTGGGACATTCAATATCTGATTAACGTTATAACTACAGGTGCCTTAAAACTGTCGTTTCATTACTTTTGATATTGATCTAGTGGTCAGTATTTGCATGGTAGTCTTCACCCGTGCAAATTTTCAAATCACACAAGTTAACAAGCATGAAATGGAAAGAAATTGTTTCATAGATGTGTAAGGCAGCTGCATACTTTAACCCCCCTGATGAGGAAAAAAAATTTAATCAACTTTTGTAGCAACATGGCGGAATGGCAAATTAGAATAATTTGGGATCATTAAATATTAGAATAATTTGGGATCATTAAATATCTTATAATAAGGTTGTGATTAGAACATGGGAGTTGCTAACCAATATTTATGGGTGCAATCCATAACATTTTATGCCCATTGGGTTATTTAAGGATGCCCAATACAGGATATGGCTACTTGGCTGGCCTTTGTGTTGCATTCTTAGCGATTCAAGTATCGAAATTTAGAGTAAATGTAGATTGTCAGATCTGGAAAGTCCAAAAAAATATTTGGACAGTGATTTATTTGTTGGGAAAAAGGCTTTCTTGAGTTGAGCATAGAACCAATATGAATCCATTACATGATTAATCAGCCTCAGATCATGTATTGACCCATATACTTGTTAGAAAAGGTCTAGGAAATTTACAATATTTTAATAACCATTTGAATAAATAGTGTTTGACCTAAAAAAAAAGGAGTATGAACTGGTGAATCTCTTTATATGCTTACTTATTTTTATAAAAAACAGGAAAATGATTCTGTAAAGATAGAGAAGAGTACAAAGGAGAATGCTGAGATACCATTTAAGAAAAACAAAAACTAAGCACTAGGCACTCTTAAAAAAGAAAGGAATGAATACTTAGTGGCACATTTTGAAGTCTAAGCAGTATATTTGGAACAAAATCCGGCACTGCAACACTAGTACTAAACTCATTGGAGAATTCATGGACGTAGGTTAGCTTAATAAATCTGCTTCCCAGGCTTTTGCTAATGGCTCGCCTTTTGACCCTGAGCACCAGTTAGCTGCATTCAACTGCATTGCAGTTTTCACTGGATTATTTATTGAAAGTGAATGGTAAGGTCCATTTGTCTTGCATAGAGCAATTAGTTCACAGTCCTCACAAGACCTAAACCTCTTTAGATTGCAGACAATATGTGAAGGAGAAATCTAACGTTAATGAAGATTTACTTTTTATATGAAAATTAGATAAAGAAATCTTAAACCTCTTTATAAAGATCCAAGCATCAACTTATCTTAAAGAATGATTGTGAAGTTCAAAGAATTAATTCTAGTACTATGCATGAAAAAATGGAGACCTTATTTAACTTTTTGTTGTTTTGCTGATTTGTTTTTCTACATTGCTAATTGCCTAGTAGTAAGAAAATATGTTAACTTGTTTTGGATTTCCCAGGTGAAGGCTCTTTACGTGAAGAACATACCTGAGAACTCTTCACCTGAACTACTGAAGGAACTATTCCAGCGCCATGGAGAAGTTACAAAAGTTGTTATGCCACCCGCCAAATCTGGTGGCAAACGGGATTTTGGTTTTGTTCATTTTGCAGAAAGGTCAAGTGCACTGAAAGCTGTCAATGATTCAGAGAAATATGAAATTGATGGTAATTTCAGCATATTCTATAGGGAAAAAGTATAGTCTTGACACTAAAATGATGAATAAAGGATCTGAAAAATTTAACCAGTTAATCCTTGGTTTTAGTAATGGTTACAAATGTGTTAACTATTAGTTTATTATTATGTCTATATTTTCTGAAAGAACAAATATGGAAATATTGTATTTAATCAATATCAACTTTTAAAAAGATAAGATTTTAGCAAATCTATTATTAAAAGTTATTGCAATGGTTCAACAATGATGCACCATAATGACCAAAAATAACATCAGTTGAAACTCTAGATATATAGTGGCTAGTTTGATTTTCAATAACATGATTGGGCATTGGAAGTGGAATGCTTCATCAATGATGCACCATATTGTATTTTGTTTGGGTTATCCTGCTTATGCTAGTGGAATTTTGCGAAGTGTGGAAAGCAATTTCTTTGCTAGCCTGTTTTTTGCTGAATGTTTTTTTTTTGGTAAATAATATGTTCAATGGATATGAATGCAGGTCAGGCATTGGATGTTTTTCTGGCTAAGCCTCAGACTGACAAGAAGTTTGATGCTGTTAATCTCCACAATTCTGGGCCTCGGCCAAATTTTATTCCTCATCCTGGGTATGGTGGTTTTCCTGGTAATTCATATGGTGGCCCTCTAGGGGGTGGATATGGCGTTACCGCTGGATTTCAGCAGGTATTCTCATGAATCAGTTTCATTCTCCTTGACCTAGACGTAGTTTCTTATTGATTTAGTTTCATCTGATAGACTTGCACAAATGAACAGCCTGTGATATACGGTAGGGGGCCAATGCCAACTGGGATGCAAATGGTGCCAATGGTTTTACCAGATGGTCGAATTGGTTATGTTCTGTAAGTGGCATTTCTGTGTGATATTTTTTCTTCTAGAACTTCCACTTTTGCTTTCGCTGACATAATAATTATGCAGACAGCAGCCTGGAGTACAGATGCCAACCCCACGGCCTCGGAGAAATGATCGAAGCAATGGCACTGGGGCAGCACAAGGACGAGGAGGACCTAGCAGTGGCAGTGACGATCGCAGCAAGCGGTACCGACCATACTAGGGGCAGTGGAACAGTGATATGTTGTAGTGGATAACTAGATATGGCTGACAAAATGACATTCCACACCTCAGACCCATCTCTTTAAACAAAAAGAGGTTAATTCAAAATCATGATACGAGGTATCTTATAATCTACTGTAATGGTCATAGTGTTGGCAAGAGACATACATGTCAACTTTGGTTTCAATTGTTTTTTGATCTGAGAACAAGTTAAGTCCAACTTTGTTTACCTGGAACTATACACGCTAATTCCAGGTCCTGACTTCTGATTGCAATTCAATATCTTTTTCTGTGTTTCGAGGATTCGTGGACTCGTTTTGGATGTAAGATTGATGACCATTTATGCTATTCCACCATTTCTGATGCTCCTCAAAATGAAAGAGGGGGAAGAGCAACTAGTTTTACTCACCATTAATTTTAGTGATCAAAAGTCAAATAATTGTTCTTCTATATCCGTGCAATGAACTTGTGTATAATTTAACAAATTTTTTTTATTTTTCCTCCTATTTTGTTTTTTTAAGGTATTTGGATGAATTTTGTTTGTCAGATTTCAGGTCAATGCGATGTTTATCATGTGTGTCTTTGCTATCTCAACGCTTTATTATAGTGTGTTAGATATAAATCACATGAAAAGTATTTCACAATGGTGTTTTACTCGAGTGTATATATGTATGCATATTTATATGGTATTGAATAAAAATATTATCAGAATCCTTGGAAAAACAAAACCCGCCATTGACCTGCTGAGCTTTTAGCTTGGCTGTTAAGGGCTGTGGTCTTAAGGTTCTGTCGGTGCCACCTCAGCGTATGGGTGTGATAAATTGGGGAAGAAAGGCTAATATTGTAGTTAGTAGCTTAATTCTAAAACATTAATTATGTTATTTTACACAAAAATAGAGTTATAAGATTGAACAAAATAAACTCCTCTTTAATTTTCCAAACATGATTTATATAATTATTATTTTTAGATAAATTACACTTATCTCTCTTGAAGTTTGTCAATATTTTACATAAATCTCCTCTTGATTTTATAATCTCACTTACCTCTTATGTTACTAATGACCGTCCCGATAGTGTATTGATTTACTGCTTTACTTATGAGATTAAAAATGTCATTTCGCATTAAAAGAGAAAAATTAACCTTCTATTCCCTTTTGGCAAATTCGGTTTCTCTATTAGGAACTCTCTAATGGCAGGAGAGAATTTGTTACATAAATCCAAGTTTTACTAAGCTAAGAGAAGGTCCATCCATGAGATATTGCCAAACCCAAGAGAAATTTGTGAAATTTACCCCTTTTTTTTTCCCCTTACTTTGGAGGAAAAAAACAAAGTGATGCAAAATGAATTGCCTATACCCCAATTGAAAATGAACCAACTACCAAACCTTACCTTTATTTATTTATTCTTGATGCTTATAGGAATTGAGAATGTAACAACAATCTATTAAACTATGCAAGATTACAAACAGCATTATCTGTAATCAAGCCCACAAGTAAACTCCATCTTCAGGCAAAAGCTTTAATTAGTCATTAAATCCAAGCAACAACCTAACCTAGTTTTATATATATGAAAATAAAACCTGTGTTTTTCTGATGCTTTTTCCCATCTGCCAAACAACAACTAACAATTGTACCGCAAACCAACACATGCCACTTGTCCAATGACGCAGCAAGTCACCCCTCCCCTCGTATCCTAAACAAATCAAGAGTCGTCTACCCCAGATGGCACCGTCAATCATTAGTGCTAAAAAAATGATGAGACGTATTCATCTACTACTAGTTTTATTTGGTTTTAACTGACAACTACTTTGATGAAAAGGCACGTTTGATGGAAAATGCTCATGATTTCGAATCCGATTATTCTTGTATGAATCCAACTTCTTAGCCTCCCCCAAACACTCCAGTCTTATTCTTCGGCTCTCTGTCCCCTCTACCCTAGCTACTACCTCTTCCCACCAAATATTTCACCAAATACACACACACATACTGCAATTCCATTACACTTCCCCTTCATCTTCATCGATCATAGCTTCGGTATGTTAATTTTTCTCTCTTTTCTTATACATATATATAGTTTTCAATTCTATATGTGAAAGTTAAATTGTACAATGATATTTGAAGTAATTGTCGTATTTTTTGTTTTTTGGTTTTGGAATTTAATTCAGGGTTTGATGGGATCATACAAGGAAGAGATGAGAGATGTAAGTACACATACTCATAAGTTTGAGAAGAGTTTGAAGTCATGCATGGCTTTTTTGGGTTCATTTTTGATAAGCATGGTAGGCGGACTGGTGTTGGCTTGGTGGGAATTAAGGTTTCATCCTACAAATACTCAGCAGTGGATGATCCCCTTGGGTCTTATTCTCTTTATTACACCACTCCTTGCCTGGTTCTTACTCTTCGTTTCCGATATCTGTTATTTTAAAGATGCTTCAACTCAGGATCAACCCGGTTTTTCTGTAGATAACTCGGTGGAGGTAGGGATGATCAATCCACTTCATGGTTGCTAGTTTATTAGTAGTGATCTTAGATACTGAGAGCCGTCTGTAATATATATATATATTTTTAAATGGTTTTCTTCATCGTTACTCCCAATATATATATTTCACTCTGCCAATGAAAGCAATATATTTGATTCTCGTATTGAATTACATGTGTTGCATTGCTTATATAATTGGGATTAATAAATCCAGTTTAGATTTTGATTTATGAGTGTGTTTTGATTCAGCTGGAATGAAAGGAAAGCAAGAGATAGCATCTGATGCTTGGTATAAAAATAAGAGGTTGGTTAATTAGAAAGGATAAGGAACTAATCAATCCCTTGAAATTTATTATTATTATTATTATTACTAACTTTTTATTTTTATTTTTCACTGTCCATCAATAAGTGAGAGAGAAATGATCTAAGAATTTAGCATTATCCATATTTTTTTCTTTTTTTCTCTCTGATATTTTTTTCCTAAGTCAGACGAAATATTATCAATATGCTTTTCTTTCTTTTTATTTTATACTTGTCAAAAAAAGGACAAGCAATCAATTCTATTCTTAATTTGATTTACTATAAACGTTCCTGTAACATGTCGAGTTACAGCTAACATACCTTTGTAAAATAATTTTTTTTGTCACGCTGTACCTATCGACCCCACTGTCATTATTATTGTTATTGTATTATTGTTTACCTTTCGTTTATCTAAAACAAATCGAAGAGTGCTAACCTATTTTTACCTTAAATTAACTTACTAGTATGATGAAAGTGACAGAGTATGATGCGATGATAGGTATCAAGTTGTGTAGTTTAATGTATATGGTTGAATGGTCTCTTTGCTTTTAGTGACAGATAGATGTAAATGTAGTGATGTTGTACAAATCAATAAAAGACTACTCCGCAATATATTAAGAAGCTAGGGTAGGGAAGACCAAAATGTTGCCTTCCCCAGTTCAAGTTTCAATTAGAGTTGAGACCCATTTGAAGTCCAAAAAGGTCCTTTAATTAAAGGGCCGGTTTAGCTTTTGTGTTCTTGTAAAGAGAGCCAACATGAGCGACTTTCCTTCATTGTCCCCACACAATACACATTTGACAGATTCTGCCTAGGGACAATGATAGAAGGACAATAGGTAAAGCTTTCAATTTGTTGTACGTAGAGTGACCGTTTTGTTTCAAACTCAGTGTCCCCTGTATTTGTCAGTAATTTTTTTTTCTTCATTATACTATTAAATAATGATATGTAAATATTAATTTAAATATAGAGCAAAATAAATAACTCTATTAAAATGGCATGTCGCTTGTAAACTTGAAAGCACCACCAACTCTATTTAATGATGTTGAGTAGCAACGTCAAGATTAGAAAAATGCAACTGGTTCAATCGCTTGGGAGTCCAAATCATGGTATAGCATTGCACTCCCAACCATGGAAAATTCAGAATTTATATGAATTTTCGCCTTAATGATTTTTCACTTTTAGGATTCCATGAAAATAGGATTTATCTAATGTTTCTTCCAATCATAAATTGCCATTCATTGTACATTCATCCCCTCTAAGCTCAATTTTCTTATAATAATATTAAGGAAAATGTCATTTACCTCCTCTGGTGTTTATCAATTTTCATAATCTCACTTGCATCTCATGAGGTTTTGATTTATGTAACAAATTCTCCTTGTCGGTGAACGTCGGACGAAAACAAATAGAATACTGATAAAATATTAATTTTGCCTTTTGAATATATGAAATTACAACATTTATTTTACGAGCAAAATAGTAAAATAACACATTACCGTTATCAAGTTGGACATCCATCATTTATAAGGGAGATAAGTAAGATTATAAAACGTAGAAGGGAGCATATGTGGAATGTTAACAAACCTCAAGAAAAAAAAAATATTAGAATTTACCCTAATATTAATGAGTGAAAGTCATTGCATAACCTAGGTAAAAAAAAAAAAAATGAAGGACTTTCATTTCCCATTTCACTACACTTTTTTTTTTTTTGGGAATTTTAAGCAATTTCATAAAAGCAAAAATAATTACTGTGTGGGCCAATTGGCAAATAGCCCTTTTAGGGATAACAACCCAGTTTTAGGCAAAACCAAGGTCCAATGTAACGACCCAAGCTGATGCCAAAATTTTAAAAAAAAATCGGCATAATCTCCCCTAAAAATGGTCCTTCAACAACATGTCCCAAATACACAAAACACATAGTATAATCCAGTATCCCATTCATCGATTCATTATACCTCAACATAGTTCCTCTCATGGTGAAACATCCACACACCAATTAATCTAACTTATTATAATTATAGTCCCAAAATACATGATTAAGATCTAAAATCCCTGTCTTACAACGTTACATGATACAATTGCATGAAAATATATACCACAATTCCATTAGTTTCATTTACATCAAACAAAAGATAAATTCGTTCTTAAGTTACAAGGCCATGAATATTAACTTAGTTACATTTCCACAACTATGAGTATATATAGAATGGTCAAAATACGAAATAGCAAACAACCTTCTAACAACTTTTAAGTTTGAGGTGGATTGTTGCCCACCGGTTCATTTCTAAGACCTGAAAAAAATAATATAAATAGTAGGGTGAACAAATATGCTTAGTAGGTGACGCTTCAGACGCACCTCTTGAAGCCCCGTAAATCCAAACAAAACATAGACCAATGGGGATATGGATCATACAACGTAGGGGAATGATACAACATGGTTACCAATCTCAACACAAATGACAAGATGCAATAGAGATGCAAATGCATGCCGATGTCGCTCCCCATTTTCAAATTCAAGATTATCACT